TGGATTTCTATCACAAACGATCGTTTTCGCCTTGGTTTCAGATCGGCTTCTTCTTTCTTCCTTTTTTGGAAAATTGGAAAAAAATGTGCTAATTATGGATCCGTATTAGCTTCGGATAAAATCGATCGTCTCTGAGTGGCTGATCACACACACAGATGAGACATATTCCATAATGTAGTTTCGACACTAGGTTGATAAGTCTACCTATGTTTGATGAACCACGGATCTCCCTCATACGAGGGATCCCGAGCAGGTTAGTCTAGAGGCTACGTGGCTCGTCCCCAGGTGGCGGATAGGGAGTTAATCGCGGACCAAAAGCGACCTTTGCTTTCCGGAGACGCAGGTGCATCCAGGGATGGACACCCTGTTTCTGCTGCGCTGATTTGGCACATACTTTCTGTATTTACGAGTCGTATTCATGCATGAGTGTGTGGGTGCGTTCTCGCTTATGCGGATTGTATTCTACGAGTCAATTCGGCCAAAAGCCTGCAATAAAGTGACTGGGAGGTGTATGCGAGGCGGCTAGGAGTCGCCTCCAACAAATAAGCACCATGTTCACTCTGGGAGAGCCTGGCACACTACCCGTGAGGATACCCAGTCCCCACGTTCAGAGCCCAGCAAGCTATACGTGGGTATCAAAAGTGCTAAACAAGAGCCTCCAATTTCACAGCGTATGGTAGGACGAGTACGGAGAGGCTGCTAAAATCTCAGAGCCAATGGAAGCTGCCTAGAATACAAAAACTATAGTGACGATCTGTACCAACGGTGCACTTACACCTGCATTCGGGTCCTCGATAGAAGACTTGCTCATGCAAGCAAGAAGGATAAGGTGCGGCGTCATCGGTGCGGCCCAGACGAGACGACAACACCCATTGAACGCTATCTATAACACCGGAGGAGAACTGTTCCTCGGAACATGCGACAGTAGAGGAGTTGACGAGATCGGCGTTCTCGTTAACACGAGTTTGTCCATGAACATCAATACATTCGAACAACACCCGAATCGGACGTTTACGATTAAAATGACATAGATCAATTCCGGCTTTGACAATCACCGTCGTTTACGCGCCGACAACATACTGCGACGAAGAAGAAGTCAAAGCGTTCTATATGGACTTGGAGAAGTTTTACTGAGAAGACCACACATTCCTCAAGGTCATCAACGGAGATTTCAAGGACAAGATTGGACCAAGAAGAACGTCTGAAGAACGTCACATTGGGACTCATGGATTAGAATGGAACGAACAGCGTGAGCGGCTATCGGTGTGTATCATGGCGAACAAGACAATCCATGGTAACTCGCAATTCCAGAAGCCCCGTCCTCAGCGCTCGACGTGGGAGTCTCCCAATGGAGAGTTCCATAACGAAATAGACCACATCATATTCAATACAAGGTTTTGCTTAACCGATATCGCTGTTGTGCCAAAATTCTACACGGGACCAGACCATCGGCTCTTTCGTGTAAGATTCTATTTTTCGCGGAAAGGAGAAAAAGCCGCTAAATTTAAAAACCGAAGTCCCAGAACCACCGCAAACTGGGACCTATTCAAATCATTAGTTGGCTGTTGGGAAGATGCCGTTGTCGATGACATCGACGAAGAGTACGATCGGCTCATGCAACATCTTCACGCTAGCGCTATGAAAGCTCAGAGTTCGAAAGTCACCAAGAGACGTTTGTCTCCAGAAACACTCGAGCTGATACACCAGCGTGGAATCGCACGAGCTGCAGGCAACAGCAAACTAACTTCTGAACCTGCAAAATAATGCAGACAGGCGTTAAAAGAAGATCTTGAAAAGAGAAGAACAGCGGTAATGATCGAAGCTGAAGAGGATGGGAAACGTATTCGCAAACCCCACCGAAGCTTCTGCAATTACAAGATCAAAATGATTGCACTTCGGCACCCAGGCGAAACAGTTACAACGTCCAGAAAGGCAATGGAGAAAATCATTCACGAATACTACACGGATTTCTTCGATAGGCGCGTCCACATTCCGTCATATGAAATAAAGGTGGATGGATATGTTGTACCACCGGTTCTCCCATCCGAAATCAGACAAGCCATTTCGTCGGTGAAAAATCGAACAGCAAAAGGCCTGGACGGGTTAAGACCAGAACACCGGAAGAACCTTCCGCCAGTCGTCGTAAACACACTGGCTCGGCTGTTCACACGTTACTTGTCTGAATGCAAGGTCCCTACTCAGTGGAAAGCCAGCAAGACCGTGTTATTGTTCAAGAAGGGTGATCACCGCGATATCGACAGCTATCTCCCAGTCTGCTTACTGTCTGTAGTCTGCAAAATTTTCACTTGAGTCATCCTAAACAGGACTGACAGAACACTAGACGAAGAACAGCCATGTGAACAAGCAGGGTTTCGAAACGGATTTAGTACGATGGACCACATCCACACGGTAACAAGGCTCAGTGAAGTATCGCGAGAGTACAAAAGACCGCTCTGCCTCACTTCAATCGATTTAAGAAAGCCTTTGATTCAACTGAGATAGAAGCAGTCATGGAAACCCATGATAGCCAAGGACTCCCTACTCGGTACATAAATATTCTTCGTGAGCTGTCCAAAAAATTCACAACCGAGGTATCACCATTCTACAACGATATTAACATTGACGTCAGAAGAGGAGTTAGGCAAGGCGACACCATCTCGCCAAAATTATTTACCACCTTCAAGAACCTCATGCAAACATTGGGATTGGATAACATGGGAGTTAAAATCGATGGTAGGGAGTTACACCATCCTCGCTTTGCTGATGAGATCGTCCATATAACACCAAACATTAGAAGCAAAACGTATGATTGTCGACTTTGATAGAGCCTGTGGAAAGATTGATCTTCGACTAAATCTCACAAAAACGATGTTCATGAAGAACGGTTTCGCATGCCCCGTTCACGCTCAACGGAACGAATATCTCCGAATGCTCCAGTTATGTCTATTGAGGTCGGGAAATCAATATGATGAACGACTTAGCTCCAGAGCTGAGCAGAGAGAAACGAGCGGGTTGGGGAGTCTTCAAGAGCAGCGAAGATGTAGTGAGGAGAACAAGGAACACCCGACTCCGCGCCCACCTTTTCGACTCAACGGTACTTCGTGCCCTAGCGTATTCGTCAGAAACCTGGTCACTGCGTAAGCAGGATGAAAAGTCACTCAGAGTTATCGAAAGCGCAGTCGAAAAGACGATGCTAGGAGTGTCTCGTTCCACACAAGTAAGGAATGGGATCCAAAGATCCGATATGCGTGAACGATCAAAAATCAATGGTGCCGTTCTGTACGCCAAACAGTCGAAGTTAAGGTGGGCCGGACACGTAATGCGCATGAATGACAACCGATGGACAAGAGCCGTTAGTGACTGGATTCCTCGGGAAGTAAAACGTACTGCAAGAAGACCACTGACCCGATGGTCAGAGTTCTTCACAAAGAGCCTTGAAGAAAGGTATGATGCTCGACGAGTCCCTAGAGCGAGCAGAACCCACTGGGCTACTCTTGCACGCGACAGGGAAAAATGGAAGATTTACTGGCGCCCGCTCGAGTTACTCGACTGTCAACGAGACTACAGGTGATACAGGTGATGTTTGATGAAAATAATTGTACTTTGCAGTTAACAAATGACTTTCAGTCATGTAATGTCAGAAAAGATAGCCCATTAAGAAGAGAAATGCGAAGTTCGAGCAAAACTGTGAAGATCTAAGCATCCGACTAAGCGTTAAATGTTCTATTTTAGTTCTAGACGGTTCGGTTTGTGGTAGCGTGTAGTTGAGGAATCCTGGTAGGAGTTTTCTCATTAATACCGGCTTACTAGATTTTTCGTGCGACCCAATCCTTTCTTTGAATAGTTTAAGATGAGCTTTAACATAAGAACTTCCTCTTATGCGCTTTCATTTTTGTGAAGACATGCTTTATATTTATTTAATCTTTTCTCATATAACCACAAAGATGCTGAGATATTCACAAAACATGTACACCAGGCCAGATCCAATCACGACCAACCTTTACGGGAGCTCGCGGGTTACACACTGCACCGCTGAGATCCACATTCTTTCTCTTAGCCAGTTTTCTACCTTAAGGTGCCATCAGCAATCATCCGTCAACAGGATTAATCTACGAAGAACAAATAAAGTGAACATCGTTGTGGTTACATTTCACAAAGTATCTTCCTGTGAAATATTACACTAGGCAGTAAATAAATGGTTAACATTGTGTTTTCGGATACGTTTACTGAGAGAAACTTCCTTCTTATCAATGAACCAGGGAATCTATGTGTTCAGCCATAAACCTTCCTTCCCCGATTAATTTGTAATGTCCTTTTAAAGATAAGACCAGTACAAAAAATGAATTCGGAAACCTTCAGAAGACCAAAGTATTCATTCAACTTCTCTAGAACCATGGAAATAACTTCCACGTCAAAGGTGACCATGTATTTCCTTCCGTCTTCTCTTCGTGTATTCCGGTGTGAGCGAACTTGTGTGAGGATTACTTCAGGATTATATTCGGGTAGAAGACTAGAGGAAAATGGCTTCGATGTGCAAAGAAGCGAATCAAGCTCGAATTTAACAACTGAGCACCATGCCTACTCTGAAAGGAATACTGGATAGCCTATCCACAGTTGTTCGCAATCTTAACGGTAGTGCGGTTAGCTATCCGTGATTATTCTATCATAAAAAGAGTGGAACAAAGAGTGAAATGAATCACTCATGCAAAAATGTAATGACATTCGAGACTAGTAAATGGAACCGATTGGTAGTTATTGAACGCGATGAAAAAGAATGGAAACTACCCTATCCTGCTTAGGTTAGACGTTGATCCGATGCCGATATCGATCCATATTCATTAGATGCATCATTATCCATGCCACTGGGTCGTTCCTCCGACAGATTCGGCCCTCTCTAAGCCACAGATTGTACGTATGTGTCCGGAATCTTGTGATGGTGGCTCATTCATCAGCAGAGTCATGGCGTGACGCCATAGTGTCAGTTGGTTGGCAATTTCGTAATGCAGCCGCCATACTTTCTTGTTCTTCTGCTACTAATTTTTGTTCGAATACAATTATTTTCCACCTTTTCGTGCCTCGAACCGAATGGTGCACGCCCCAAATACTGTAGAAAAGAATGTAAGACCGACGACGATTGCAAAAGGCACAAACGCTGCATGTGCGATGGTGAATGCGGCCTAAGCTGCGTGAATCCAGGTATCGATTGATAGTTGATCAGTTATTGATTGGTAAAGATTGATTTTATGAATGTATTCTAGCGTCTACATGTCATCCATTGGGTGATATTGAAAATGGTTATATTCGAACTGCAGGAGAGCTAAGGTAGCACATTTACACCTTTAAATTGCAGTTTAAATTTCAAAGTATTTTAAACTCTTCCGGGTAGTTAGATGTTGCACTGGATTAGGAGCAGTTTTTTTTTAAAGAAACAAACATTTAAAACGGCGTCAAGAACTGTGGTAAGAGAAGTTGAACATGCAAAGCAACTGCGCTTTTCTATCGATCGAAAAATCGATTCACGACCAGTCTTCACCAATTGATCGATTGCTCTATTCCCTTCCCTGCAGTTATGAAAAGTTTCTGTAAATCACATTAATACGCTTCTTTATCAACCTCGTGTTAGCTTGTCAAACGAAAAAATACATGTTGAGTAGTCATTCCAAGGTTGAAGGTAAGTCGGTTTTTCAAACATTGGTAGGAGTTGCCTACTACATTTTTAAAATGAGAAACGGCACTGAGATTTCCTCAATATTTGGGACTTTTCTGCAAAAGCGTACATGTGGCGCAGTGTTTGGAGGCGCCCTACACCACACAATCGATCACCGTTACAATGGCCCACCAAGCCTTCCATCCCTCCGGCGTTGGCAAATTGGTGCCAGACTTGACTAGGAGGGTACCAGCACTGGCTTGATACATCGGTAGGCCAGCGCGAGCCATTGTAATGGCCAGATATGCATTCAATCACCTCCAAACGATGCCTAATGATGTCGAATCCATGGCGCATCCCTTATGGATTGATCAACGCTGAGGGCTTTATCCTTTTTTATGACTGCCTAAATTTTCACGAACATATAACCGTATACGATAATAAACTCTCATTTCGGAAAGAATACAAGTGGACATAGTCAGCAAATTTATAAAAAGCCATAGTCGACAAATTTATAAAAACCGTTATAGGGATCACAATGTATAACTTTTTATGAACAGCCTATTTTTTTTCACGGTAGGGTATAATGTGAAATGCAACCACAACGGTGATGAGATGGTTGCAAAACTCAAACCCTAGGACAGATTCGAATAGTCGACTAGCCTTTCTGGCACCTCACGTGTTACCCACTCCATCACTGAGACTGTCCCTTTGCTTTTCTCTCAGCCAGTTTTCTACCGTAACGGTGCCATCAGCTATTACCCTTCAACGGGAATGGCCTGGTGAGCACAAATGGGCTTTGAACCGGATTAAGCTAAGTCTGCAGTCGAAATCACAGTGTTTAGCTTCTTATTTACTATTGATAGGTTATTGCTGATGGCATCGTTAGGGTAAAAAACTGGCCGAGAGAAAGGCAAAGGTTGGGGATCAGTGGTGCAGTGGGTACCACTCGAGACACCGGAAAGGGTTCGAATCTGCACTGTGGCCTGGGTTTTGCATATATCTGAGGATCATTGTCATAATAATTCTTATAATAATTCTAAAGAACATTTTAAAAATTGGGGCATATTTATGAACTAGTACATGCAACTTTACAAGAATCACCATTGCTTAAAAATAGTGTTATGAAAGTCTTCCTGATGATCACCAACACCAAACAAAAATACGATAAATTGGGAAAAATTCATGTTAAAATTGGGACGCGTTTTCATCTATAGCAGTGAATTCTCTATGGTGTTGAATGCGTTGTGTATGTGTGCATGTGTGTATACATATGTGTATGTGTATGTTTATGTGCATATGTGGCTACCTGTAGAACATATTGCGCAATGGTAGTTGATGGTCAGCAGCAAACTGACCAAATTCAGATTTTCTGGGTGTTTGGTTACTGCTGGAACCGATCCACAGATCCTTTTCATGTCTCTAAGATGCCCCACTGTATATTTTAATACACTCTGGCCCTCCTGTGTGGTAAATTAAGGAAAACGCTCTGCGTGAAAAATACCACCAGAAACAAAGATCGCTCCCAACGGGACATGAAGGTAACTCTTCATTCTTCTTAAGATTCCATCCTTTGTAGGTTTGGTGCAAATGCCGAATACGCTTGTAATAAGGGTTTCGTGTTGATCGGCCCGTCTCAGCGACGATGTCAAGGCAATCGAGAATGGAGTGGTGCTCAACCGTCATGTCGACTACAGAGTAATTTAGTTCAATGCGTAAAACTTATCGATGTACTATAGCCGAAAACTTGAACTGAATGAACTTCACACAGTCACTTGAGTTGTCTTAAAAACCATTTGCAATTTGTTCATCGTATTATTAAAAAAGTACTTAAATGTTTAACGTTTTGTTTTCTGCCTTCTATAATTTTCATGGCAGGTTACTAAGCGAAATACAACCACAACGTTGCTGAGATATTTGCAAAACCCTGGACCGCAGGTGTCTATGGTGGGGAACGAACGCGCTATCATCCTTTCCGGGGAGTAACGCGTTCACCACCACACCATGCGGGTCCTTCGTTTCGCCTGCCTCTCAGCTATTTCGATTTCAACTACAGCCATAGCTTAACTGGGTTCTATGTCGATTTGCGCTCCCCAGATCAACCCCGCTGACGGGTGATTGTTGTTGCAAAAAGATCGATAGAAATAGCTGAGAGACAGGCGAAACGAAGGACCCACATGGTGTGGTGGTGAACGCGTTAATCCCCGGAAAGCATAATAGCGCGCTCGTTCCCCACCATAGACACCTGCGGTCCAAAGTTTTGCAAATATCTCAGCAAAGTACTTAAAATTATAAATTCCTACAGCTTTCCTACAAAGTTTATGCTTTTTGTCGAATCGTACACAAAATGTTGTTTTTATACTTCAGTAAGATGTGGGCCTCCACCGGAGATGCCTTATGCGGTGCATGACGGCTCGTCATTCACTGGTGAATACGATCTGGAAGCCGAAGTGACCTATTCATGTGTACCCGGATATCATAAATTTTCCACAAAGGTACTTAAAATTGCTGACTTTTGTAATATTAAGCAACATACAATGTCGCGTATGGAGCAGTGGTCGGGGGCGCCCTGCAATAAACACGTGGAATCGATTCCCGCGCCCATGGCCCACCAAGCCTTCCATCTCTCCGGGGTCGACAAATTGTTACCGCACTTGTCTGGGAGGACAGCAGCACTGGGTCCATGCATCGGCAAGCCACCGCGAGTCATTGTAAAGGCCTGATATGCATTCAATCACCTTCAAACGAAGCTCAATGAAGTCGACTTTATGGATGGCGCATCCTTCAGGGATTGGTCAACGCCGAGAGCCTTATTTTTTATCCTTTATTAAGCTACATATGGTAACTAAACGGCTCGATTCATGAAAAAAAATAATTTGCCAATGTCTTCAATTAAGAGAGAAACGAGAAACGTTGCAAGAAGACCATGGAAAGGAATCCTATGTTCGTATCCTTTCTTTCTCAACTTCTGCTTTAGTTGTTACCGTTATTCATAATAATAACTGTTGTAGTAGGTTCGTAACAGTATGAGAGAAATTCTGATTAACGACTCTCATAATCTTGCAACGAATGCGTCCTGAGGAATTAAAGCGCTTTGGACACCGTCTAGAAATCAAAGCAGTTATCACCCATTTTTCTAGGGTCTAGCACTTGCAAAATGTCTGCTGAATCGGAAGAATGTAGCTCAATGGTTCGGACCTGATTTGAAATGCAAGGGTGGGTAGTTTTTCAGTTTTCTTTCAAGTCCACGCATTTGCTGCGGTTTGTCCACCATCGTTTCACTAGTTCTTTTGTCACATATTCCTTTCTATATAACTAATCATTTCGACTATTTCTTCAAAGATTGTAATGAAAAATGAACAGACTTTTTGGCGTTATTTTCTTTTCTAATTTTTTTCGAAACTAGCGGTATATCGTTCTAGTGGACTCTACATTTTTAACTTTTGTAATCATAAAAGAGTGAAGCCACTTGTGTGATTTTCTTAGTGACTTACAACACGTAAGCAGAGCTGAAGTTTGCAACAAAAATTGTCGACCACGAAGTGAATGAATACTAGAATCTTTGGTGACAAAAATTGTAGCGGCCACTTTGAGCGATTAGATAGCCTGTAAGAGTTTTTGTGCTCTATGCAACAGTCAACGGGCGCGTGTGGCGCAGTGGTCAGAGGTGCCCTGCAATGCACTTAGGATGATCGATCCGCGCACCCGTGGCTCACCAAACCTTCCATTTTTCTGGGGCCGGTAAATTGATACCAAACTTGTCTGGAAGGATAGCAGCACTGGCTCGATACATCGGCGGGCCACCGCGAGTCATCGTAAAGGCCAGATATGAATTCAATCACTTTCAACGATGCTTAATAAAGTCGAATGCATGGTGCATTCTTCAGGCTTTGATCAACGCCGAGAGCTTTATCCTTTTTCCTTTATCGGACAGTCGAACCGTATCGTATATGTAAAAGCGTCCGGCGTTGATCAGTCTCTGAGGGATGCAGTGTGCACTGAACGTGATCAAGCAATCTATTACTTGCAATTGCGAAGCTCGCTAACAAATACTGGCAGCTTTTAGTAACAACTGTTTCGCAACATATTTGAGGCATGTTGTGCTATTACATTACATTGGTTTTTTAAATATTTTCGACCATACCTATTTTTATTACCAAATGAGTAGGAAATCGCGTTATTTTTCGTTTGTGTGAGTCATAAAAAATAAGAACAGGATGTTGATCCATCTCTGAGTGATGCGCCATCCGTTCGACTTCATACAACATCGCTGGAGGTGATTGAATGCATACCTGGCCTTTACAATCACTCACGGTGGCCCACCGACGTATGGAGCCAGCCAGTTAAATATTTTTCCTGTCCTCAGCCTAATACATGATTCTTCATGTCGATTCAGAAGATCAGTGATCAACAGCTTGGTAAATGACAGTTGCTTTAAAATTGAACCAAACCCCTAGGCCTCACTCGACTTTCATGAAACGTCGGCAAAAATAATCAATACCTTCTTCGATTATTAAGCAAACACGAGGATCATTAAAAAAAAACTTGTTCGGCTAACGTTTCGACGTATTCGTCTTTTTTGCAGTCACACTGATTTGAGTCGACGGAAAATGAAAACAGCTTTTCGAATATCCACCAATGCGTGTACAGAAAGAGAGCAAAAAGAAGAATCCCTGAAAATGGCACGGCAAAGAGCCATTTCCAGCGTCATCGAAACTGTGGCTCTTCGAGATAGGTTTAGAGAAAGAAAAACACCCGCAAACGATATGTCTTGCGAGAATAAGGTTCCATCTATCCTGCTCTTCATTTCCAACGAAATCAGTGCAGCTATAGAATTTTGCTTAAGGGCCGGTCTAGAGAATGCGTTAACAGTGATGTATGGCTTATCTGAACTCTTGCGAAGGCTATGGGGAGGAAAATATTGGTGAAACGAGTAGAGTAGACCACTCTGTGTGCGTATATAGGATCACATCATTTAGTCGAGAAGGTTAACGTTAAATCAAATACTCCACTAAGTGAGCGTAGGACACAGAGGCCATAATGGGGATGATTTTGAAGAGTCACCATCTTTGCACAAGAATCCAAAAAATTAGCGCGTAAAACTCTTGAAGGGCTTTCGATTAACTGCAAAAATTCGAAGACGAACCGCAAGGAGGAGTGGCCTATGATCACGCGTGACCTCGCGCCATACTCCAGGGCGATTCTATGACCTGACCCAGGCACATTCCTTGTCTACGTAGTACTCTGTACGGCTGCTCTCCACCAATTAACTGGAACACCTACAACGAACAAAACTGATGAGTGTTTAAAAGAAGCACTTTACTATGCGAATGAAAATCTGCGTACTAAGCTTTCTATGCTGAGGTTAGGAAAGTGCATGCTGTGTAGATTGCAAGTCAACTTGACCTTTCATGGCTCTAAAAAGGGCTAAATCGCGAAACATCAGCTTTTGTGTATTAATAAATGCTGCAATAACGACCTCGTGTTTTCTCATGAAGAAAAACAATGAATGACAACAATTCTGTTTTATATTCGTGCATGTATCGCGAATCGATTGTTGTGAATCAGAACAGCACTAAGAAGTCGGTTCGTCCAACTCACATACGTTACAGAGTAGTTCTTTCTTTGTTGTTTTCCAACTATTAACACTTTCACGACCATGAGCATCAATTTCTATGTGTACTCTGCCGCATTTTTCGCACCGTGCATCTTGATTTCAATGCACACTCCATTTGCGCTTCAATGACACGTCCGACCAGGCTGCCACGCCAAATTGGAGAGTTCGCGAGCACCACGTCGACTCAGAGCTAAGCAGCTGTTGTCTTTGTTGTGATGAAATTGTCGTAAATTGAGACATGATAAGCTATGAGACTTTGTTAAAATCAAATCAACGTGAAATTTTGCTTTCTAGCACGTTCATGCCCCGATCCGGGCAAGCTCGAGAATGGAGTTCGCCATGGCGATGTATTTGAGTATCCTCATACAATAGTGTTCCATTGCGATCCAGGATTTCTGCTTTTGGGACAATCGACGCGAAAATGCGAAAGCAATGGCGAGTGGTCAGATGAAGCACCAATATGTCAAGGTAAGCGGACGGTCCTAGTAACTTTTACTTCCTCAACGTAGCAACTGGTATTGCTATGTGTCGAGCTAAGATGCACGGAGTTCATTTCTACACTGGCTCAGTTACCCTCTTTGCGAGGTTCGATGTTTCCATCCTGAAGTCCATGAAGGAGTAAGCCTTCGTCAGGAATTGGCACTGTCCTTAAAAACCGTGGTTAGGAAAAGATACGTCTTTTTACAATTTAAGATTATTCCGCGGAATCGGATCCAGCAGATGTCTCAAGCAAAGCAAGGCAAAATGATGGTAGAAATCGACGACACATGGACAGGAAAGAACAGCGAAATGGTTCTCATGGAAATACACACGTCTGCAAAAAAGAACTGCTAGACAATGCATACATGCCTCTATACTTTATATTGACGGGTTGGTCAGAAGTATAAGACTTCTGATATAAAACTGATCTTACTGGTGTCACCATAATGGGGTAAATAAAGGACAACGCTCTCGAAGTTGATAAATTCCTGAGGGATGCGCCATGCATTCGATTTAATTAAGTATCGTTAGAGGTGATTAGATGCATACATAGCCTTTACAATGACTTGCGGAGGCCTACCGTTCTATCCACCCAGTACTGCTATCCTCCCAGGCAGGTTTGGTACCAATTCACCGACCCCGGAGTGATTGAAGGCTTGATGGGCCTGGGGCGCGAAGATCGATCCCATGTGTTTTTTAGGGCTCCTCCAACCGTTGCGCCCTTAGGTGTCACCATAGACCTAAATAATTCATGTCGATGAATGACGATGGTGAGAATACGACATGAATGTGAAAAATTCTATAATTTGTCCGATTCGGGGTGAAAGGCCCAACTTTGTATCTGTAGAAGAGACAGATGACGTTAAAGAGTTTAGAAAAAATTTAGTACAAAATCATATGTAACAGATTTTTCCACTCGTTTATTCTTAAAACATTCTCTCCCGAAGGATTACATTGACCTTAAAAGTGCACATAGAATCTGGTTAGCTTCCAACAAGAGTTAGACATTCTGTTAGAGCCTGAGATATTTGCAATCATATTACAGCCACTGAATGTCCACGCCCACCCGATCCGTTGCATGGACGAGTTCTCGGTACTTCTCTAACCTACCAGTCTACAGTGACGTACTCTTGTAAGGAAGGTTACAGACTAGTGGGTCAAGTCCAACGAATATGTCTTGCCGAAGGCATATGGGCTGGCACCGAGCCGAAATGTGAAGGTGTGTGTAGGTTATTGATCGGTAATAAATTAATAGCGTATAAATTTCTGATCCCTTCTTCAGTTGAACAATTTGAAAGTGATTTATACAACATATAAATAAAATGGCCTTCAATGTTAATTTAAAAGTTGAAATGTGGCCCACCATTTATGCTCTGAGAAGTTTTTAGGAATCTCTTGAACCGAAAAAAATAATCCTAGTCAGAAGATTTGGAGAATTTTAGAGATTTTTTTATTTCGATGAATAATCTCTTAAGCCCCTACAGTCCAGCTTTCCACAATTCAGACTCGGATTACCTGCCATTTCATCTGAAATCCTATAACACATCGATTCCAATCTAATGAATAGGGTAATAATCCTAGCAATGTGTTCACAGTGTTCGATATTAATTGAAGCCATGTTGGCGATTCAGTACTCTGAAACATACTAAAGCCCATTTATTGCAAACCTGTGATGTATTTCTGTTAAATACTTCTGAGCCGCACGTTAGACAGGTGATTTGAACCTCACTTTTATTACAAAGCTATTTTATCACATGTACTTAGTTGTGCTATCAATATAATCAGACGATGATGCCGATCATCACGCGCACGGTGCTGGTTCGACCCCATTGCTCGTTCACCATGAATGTCATTCCTTCGTAGTTGGGAAATTGCTAGCAGACTTGTCTGGGAAAGGTTCACTCTTTGCAATCTAAGTGAGAACGCTTCAGCAAGAATAACTCAGAGATCCAGAGAAAATGGATATGACCAACATTTAACGACATTCGCGAGGAAGGAAAGAACGAATTGATAAGGAAGGCGACAATCTTCAAGCAGCAACCTAACTGACACGCCGAACTTGAAAGGGCTTTGTGAATGTGATTATGAGGAAAGCAGTCGAATGCAAAAACCAATGGAACCCTCACGGTAGATGTGAGGGACGGAGCGTGATGAAACGAGACATTCAAATAGTAATAAAAATTAGGATGTAACAGAAAATTAGTGGGATAATCAGTGCTTAATTCATCTATCCTATGCCTAAATAATTCCTTTTAGAAATTCGTTGCCCTAACCTACCACCGCTCAGTAACGGATATATCGAAGGCGGTGACACGTATTACGGAGCAATTGCAACTTTTCGGTATGTCGGACTAAGGGAATCCTTATCCATACATTTACATCTTTTTTCACTAGCTTTTCCGTTTATTGCACATTATTTGCTGGAGGACAGCTTTGAAAGAGACCGTTCATTCTCCTAACAGGGTAACAAGGGTCACGAAAGCTGAGGTTTTTCAGTTTTCATTTGACAGCGTGGTCAAAAGCAAATCTATACCACGGTAGAGCCCGATGAGTCAGCCATGACTCATTAAAAAGTGCGGCACTTTAGCTTATTCGTTCTCTTTCGAGTTCATTCACCTCAATAAGTGTTGCTTCAGTTTTATTATTGGAATGGATTTTATGGAACTGCTGAAGTGAAACCTGCTTCGTTCAAATATTTCAGTTTTTATATTTTTTTAACTTTTTTACTCATTTTCATTTTTCTTCTTGGAGTTTCATGAATACATTACTAAGCTTTGTTTTTGAGATGCCTCGAAACAATGTCTCATGAAGGAGCGACAATGGCGAAATGCATGGAATCAGGTCAGTGGAGCCATCCGTTACCGAAATGTTTAGGTAAGAAATATATTTTGAAGTACTACAAACACCAAACTGGTTTCCCGCTTTCTAATGGTAGATTTGTAAAGCTATGCTTAAAAGAACTTCACACCCATTGATCAATTGAAGGTTCGTGCAAAATTCCACGTGTAGAAAACGGTCACATTAAAGGAAAAATTGTGGACCAACTGATCATCTCGGGTGAGTGCTAATGCTTCTTAAATTATAGATCTCAAGGATTTTCAAAGTTTTTAGGTAACCAAAAGTGGATAGTAGGTGATATCGCTCATCTTCTCGTTGATCTCATCTTTTGCTTGCGCATTTTTGGTTTCTGTTCTGTATTAGATCCGATCGAGGCACGTGTACTGCAATGGTTAGAGGTGCCCTGTTAGACACGCGTTGTCTTTGGTTCAATCCTGCGCTCCGGAGTCATAAAGCTTTCCATCTGGCAGGGGTTAGAAAATTGTTACCGCGTTTGTCTAGGAAGTTAGGAACACTAACTTGATACATTCGCAGCCAGTCGAGCATCATTTTATAGGTCAGATATGCATTGACTCACCTAAAACGAGGCTTGTTGAAGTCGAATGCATGGCGCCAAAATCAAGAATCGATCGACAGAGAAAGCTTTATCCTTCTCAGCTTTTTATTGGAGTTGATAGAGCAGTTTCCACTTATAGAAATATCTGCAATAGGAACATCATATCCTTTCAGAATGCGAACAAATTCTGGTTTGGTTGGTTGTATGCACTCTGGTAAATGCTAAGTGTCATCCAGAAATGGTTATTTCACTGCAAGACCTAGGTTCACAGAAGCATCCATTACATAGCGTATGTGGTCGTTTTCCTGATCTGCGGCCAGAGGATACCGAAATTGAACTAATTGTCGAGCCTGGTCATGTCCAGTAATAGATTTATTTTTCGTTTTGCTCTGTTAATGACCTCTTCTCAAGTAGTTGAAGTGTGTGTGAATGCAGGATGAAAGCTTGGTGTTCAAGTGGAACGAACGTTATCTGTAGCCGGTTCTCAGCTTTATAAAAAACGACTAACATAATTGTGTTAACTAACACATTCACAACGTCAACTTCTCTGCCGTAAGTCTCTCCAACTAAACGTTTTCATTCAGCATCAAAAATTGTGTGTTTCATATCTTTTCGTTGCGGTCAGTCTTATAAGATTGTACTTGATTATGTTCGTACCCCGGGCTACCAGATACTTGGTGATTGCACTGAATGCTAGCTTTTAGAAATCTTGGTAAATATCGTTGCCAAAATGATTCCATATCTTGGCGGCCTAAGGACGCCCTTAAGTTTTAGCACTCCATTTGTACCCTTAATGCCTACATTTACAATTTTTAGGGGCCACTGTAGAACTATTATGCGACGATCGATACGAGGCAAATATGCGAACACTTATGCAGTGCCACAATGGGACATGGAGCCACGTGCCAACTTGTTCACCATGTGAAAGGCTTTTACAATTTTTTAAAGCGGAGTATTCAGCTATAGAAATTCATTGCTTTAAAATTTAAGGTTCATGCAAACTAACTCGTAAGTTATTTTCTCATCAATTTTGACAGTGTACAATGTCTATGTGTAGGGGCGCCTGAAGCGCAGTGGTCGGAGGCGCCCTGCAATACTCGTGGGGTCGATCCCCGTGCCCTAGGCCCACCAAGTCCTCCAACCCTCTGGGGACGGCATATTGGTACCAGACTTGTCTGGCATGATCACAGCACTGGCTTGATACATCGGTAGACCATCGCCAGTCATAAGAGTCAGATATGCATTGAATCACCTCCAACGATGCTTAGTGAAGTTGAATTCATGGCGCATTCCTCAGGGATAGATCAACGCCGAAAACTTTATCCTTTATCCTGGACCATGTTTATGGCCCACTATGTTTCCGCACATTAATCCGAATGGTTTTTTCCGATGCAACTTTTCTGTTAAAGTTTCCGATCAAGGCAACGAAAAATAAAACAGTTGATTAGCGTGTTTCCAGTGAATTGTCACGACTGGCCACCGCGTGTCGCTAACGCTCGCGTACTTTTCTCGAAGTCGTCGCATGGAGCGATCGCTAAGTATGAATGCAATAGAGGGTGCGAATATTCGGCCGGTCTAAGTGTCCTTCTTTCGTTTTTCTTAAGATCGATTAGATCTTTTAGGTATTATCCAAATAAAGAACATCAAACGATCAAGTGCCTTTTTGGCCGATGGACTCGAGAAGTTGGACCATTGAAGTGTTTGCCGAGTACGTTCTGGTCATAAAATTAGCTAGTTTTTTGCCAAGTTTTTTTTCCGGTTGCTCAAATGTCTTTTATGGTATAGTATGTGGTTCCCTCATTCCTTTTATAACTACATGAGGTTGTGGTTCAGAATTTTCATCTGACCATGGTGTTGGTTACTGATTCCGATTAGGCTGTTCTATTGCTCTCACCTGCCCATACGAATAAGAGACAGTAAAATTTCTTGTAGTTTAACATTTCAGCATGGTGTCATCATCCGTCACGTACGTTTGGAACACTTGTTGGTGGAAAGATTTTATTAGAGGGTCAAATGGGTGCCTATGAGTTCGCTAAGTATATTCAAAAAGTCGACGAGGGAAGGTCGATTGTCTTCCAATGTAACAAGGGTAATTATCTTATCGGTGAGTACGAACTGCTGATTTTACTCCAGTAATTTCGATTAGATATAACGCGCAGCGAACAACACACACTTACTCCATAATTTTGTTTAACATTCCACTAATTTACATCTAATCCCATATGTGACTGGGTGATTCAAGCTGGCACCATTAAGCTACCCATTCTTTTCAGTCTGGCGTAAAAGCTTCTAAGTGGTTAGAAATGAAATGTATATATGAAAGAATCGCAAATAACTTTACACTACACGTTTTCTTTGCACTAACTTTGATGTGATAGTAGCGACCGCTAGCACACCGAGCTCTGCCTTGGCCTACGCTTGCTTTCTGGCTTCCAGGCAGAAATACTGAACTACCCATTTAATTTGAATCCATGGAGGAATCGAACCTTTCTAAAGCGCAACACTACACATTCACTAGCGGAAGTGACGCTGAAATTTGAAGGTTAATAGAGTATCCTCTATTCGTCGAAAATTATTGTTGACCAAGTGCCATATTACAAATCACCTCCAGGGAATTCTCAGTCAACGATCTTTGGACATTAACAGTTAGAGAAATTTTAAAATCTTAACAAATGAATACTCTGTAATCTGATTTATGCTAGTGTAAATATAGAAACATCGCCGTTATTCTACAAATTGGATCGCTAAAAACATGTCGACTTTTTGGCATTCTTATAAGAATTTGAAATGTTGAACATATTACAAATCTTGCAATCAATACGGAATGGAAGTCATTATACCTAAGTATGGTATGACATACTTTTAAACTTTCATAAAAAATGTGTCCCGTGGGCCAAAACCCTTCCCTTGCCTTTCTCTCAGCCTTTTTTTCCTTATCGGTGTCGTCAACAATCACCTGTCAATGGGAATGATCTGGGAAGCACAGATCGGCATTGAACCTATTTAAGCTTAAGCTTCAGTCGAAATCACAATATTAACAGGGCTAAGCTAAAGAAAATGACTGTGAGAATGGCTAGAAAGAGCCTTAGTGGTGCAAATGGGTAGCACGTAGGCTCCCGGAAGAGGTAATGACGGGTTCGAAGCTTACCTGGGGTCCGAGTTTTGTAAATATCTCAACACCTTTATTGTTGTACTTCACATAATATCCTCCCATGAAAAAATAGGCAGTGAATAAAAAGTTAGTTATTGTGGTCCCGCATGCTTGCTATGAGAAACGAGTGGGTAAAAGTTTTTTGTTCTTGTAATCTCTGTTACAGGTGCCCCCAAAGCTTCATGTGTTAACGGCACATGGATGCCAAAAGTTCGACCAAAATGCGTATTACAAACACATCCAATGATCGAGGGACGAATCATGTGGGATCGAAGGAGACGCGAAGTTGAAGGTAATAGCACGTCGTTGCATTCCGAAACGCGCTCTTTATTTACTCGGTTTCTTAGGGAATTTTAACAAACTTCGTTGGTCCTCGAAACTTAAAACTTTTGAACTACGTCTATTCTTGCGACGATATTACTTGTTTAGATTCTAAAAGAACGGCGGATTGCCCATCAGTTCTCAGTAGTTCGGAACGTGTCGTCGTTGTGCATGAGGATAATGACATTACTGTAAGAATATCCTAATCGAATCAATAGAACCTTCTGAGCGAGTTCCACGTAGCGTCGTTGGCATTTTGACTATCTGTTCGCTTCAGATCATTTGCAGAGAGGGCTTTGAGTTTCCATTCGAGTTCATAGATGGTCGGTCGGTATGTGTGAACGGCACTTGGGCACCAGCACCGCCGGAATGTGTACCAAGTGAATATCATTTGTTACTTAAACGTAGTTAACTTTTTATCTTGCAGCTCTAACCATTAGGTAAACGTTTTTCTGTATAATGCAAATTTTCGGAGCCTTTTTCTCTATTTATGAATTTACTGCACCATAAGCTACCTGAATTATAAAAACTATGGTTTAGAGGCTAAGCCATACCTCTGTTGACAATGTCCCATCAGTCCCAGTTATGGAACTTTTCTAGAGCGCCAATTTCCAGGAATCTTACTGTGAAGAAGTCTTTTGAGATGGTCATTTTTAGATGAGAATACATTAATTTCATGTTTTGCAAAGATCTTTGGTGATATCTACTCAACTTTCGTGAGCGTATCTGTTACTTTACATTCTTGTTTAAGCGCAATGCTATAATGTGGATCTCCTATTTTACAGGGTTCTTCACAATTGTTTCAGAATCTTGTCGAATACCTGTACGATTGCATGTATTCTTCCTCAAAAGGCGCACTTCTCAAATTCTTCAATCCGGTGACGTCATTGAGGATGGAACGTCGGCAACAATGATTTGTGTACGAGGATTTCATCTTCAAGGTAACGGAAGGATTACTGTATTTTAAACTTAGTTGGCAAGGATGACGTATTCATTACATCAGGTCAAGGAAATTTTTGTTTTATACTGTGCTTTTTTTCTTACTGGTTTCAAAACTAGTATGTAAGGATTTTCACTCCTCAATAGGAGACGGTTTTTGTAGTTTCATAGCCAGTTCTATAGTCGAAAGCAATGACCAACATTTTCCTATTTGCTAGGAAAAAGGTCAAAGTTTTCACTTTTACGTCTATCTTTGTCTAGTTTATTCCTATGCTTGCATAACAATGTAGTATCCTTAAGGTAACGGTGTTCTTGAATGCCATCGTGGAATAATCATTAATCAACTCGGCCATTGCGTACCATGTAAGTTATTTGAAAAGTTAACAAATACGTTGAAACGAATGAGAATATAACTCGAAAGACCGACTTTCTATAAACCTCGGCATGGATAGTTGATATATTTATTTATGTGATCTTATAAACTGATCTTCTTAAGCTGACGCGAGGTTGGTACAGATCTTCGTTGTCGTTGTCGTTGTTGTTGATGTCATTGAACGATGGCTGATGTTTCGGCGACTTCGCCTTCCTCAGAGCCTGGACGTACTTTATGTTAGAATACTTTTTATTATTCGGTGGAAAAGAAGGTTAAAGTATTAATGAAGATCAAACTTTCAAATAGACGCCATATTGAACAGAAAGGCCACTCACCGTGATGTTACGTGCGGGACTGGCCCACACGTAGTTCACGTGGAGTCGCGAGCAAGGCACGCCCCGGGGTCAAAATATCATTTTGAAATAGGGCGCCAGGTCACGCGTGATAGTGAGGCATTCGTCCTTCCGGCTGGTTCATCTTTGGATTTTTGAAATTTATCCAAAACGCCCCAAGAGTTTTGCGCGTTGATGTTTTTGATTCCTGCGCTAGGATCCGCATATTCACTTCAGNTCGGCGACTTCGCCTTCCTCAGAGCCTGGACGTACTTTATGTTAGAATACTTTTTATTATTCGGTGGAAAAGAAGGTTAAAGTATTAATGAAGATCAAACTTTCAAATAGACGCCATATTGAACAGAAAGGCCACTCACCGTGATGTTACGTGCGGGACTGGCCCACACGTAGTTCACGTGGAGTCGCGAGCAAGGCACGCCCCGGGGTCAAAATATCATTTTGAAATAGGGCGCCAGGTCACGCGTGATAGTGAGGCATTCGTCCTTCCGGCTGGTTCATCTTTGGATTTTTGAAATTTATCCAAAACGTCTCAAGAGTTTTTCGCGTTGATGTTTTTGATTCCCGCGCTAGGATCCGCATATTCACTTCAAAATCATCGCCGTTGTGCTTTTGTGCCCTATGCGTACCTAGAGGGGTGTTTAAACGGATTCTAGCTTTTCCATCTCGATGTTCTTTTATGCGGACAGAAAGTGGTTTACCCGTTTCCCCGATATATTCCTCGCCGCATGTATTACATGAGATCAAGTATATTATACCTGAACTCATGCAATCCCCGTCTCTCCCGTTAGGACAGATCATACAGTTTTCTGAGCTGCACAAACGATCATAGAGACGGTTTCGAACTAACTGGCGGCGTAGGGTATTGGGTGGGATGTCAACAATCGTTACATAATTTTCAAGACCACTTTTTCTTAAGCACTTTTCGATGGCTTGACTTACTTCATTTGATATGAAGGGCAGCTTAAAGGGGATCCTACTTTCGTCTGAAATATTATTTTGGGAAACTACCCAGTGTTTTCCTCTAACCCGAGTGGCTTCTACTTCGTAGCTTTCGTAACTTCGTAGAATGGCAATTTTTCGTGCCAGGTTTTGCGATTCCTTCCTTTCCTCTTCTCTGTGCACACATTTCTAGCCGTACGATACATGTTTTTGATAAGTGCTTTTTTCATGTGTGAAGGATGAGAGGAGAGGCAGTGAACTAGAACGTTTTTACTACTTGGCTTGCGATACCATTTTGTTACATAGCCACTTACTGAGAGCTTTATTTGGATGTTTAAGAATAAACATTAAATAAAGTACGTTCAGGCTCTGAGGAAGGCGAAGTCGCCGGAACGTCAGCCATCGATCAATAACATCAAAAACAATGAATGAGAATATACTTGTGAGATTCTTGTGGCTTACATGTCCCGCAACCTTGCAATACAAACCTTGCCCTATTTATATTTCGTTGAGAACTAACGATTTCATACGAATCAGCAAGAAGTATTTCCTGAGATTGTTATATAAGTCTTAGCCCGCTAATGTTTCGACGTCTTCGTATTTACCAGAGCCGATGATCCGGGATCTAGATAGCAAAATAAATTTACTTGTCAACCTCGTGCTAGTTTGACAATAAGATAAGATATCGAGGCTAAGGTTACAGCGGTAGCTAGAAAACTAGCTGAGGGAGGCGCAAAGCAAGGGGCCTCCGTAGTGTAGTGTATAATACGCGATCCACCAGAAAAGGTAATCGTGGTTCGATCTGGCTTGTCGTTCAAGTTTTGAGAATATCTTAGCATCGTTGTGCTATGGGCAGAGTTGGTAATTTGGAATATAGAGGTATAAGAATAGTTAGTATTATTGACACGCTTAACGATTCTGAATCGTCCTTGTTAGGTAAGCATTCGACCGTGTCTTGTCGGATTTCAAAAATCTTTTGTGTGGGCGCCTTTTTTGATCTAGAAAGGTGCCTTCATCCATATTGAAATTTTTTCCGTCTTTAATTCAATGTCTTTATTCGCCATTGCTAAACGTTTATAAAATTCAATTACAGCGAACGTAAGTTATCAGACTATTATGTGGTTCTTTCACTGCTATCTTCTATGTGTTGAATTTCATTTAGGAATGTTCCAAAATGAAACTGTTTTTTTGGCACTGTGCGGATCCCAGCACTTCTGGCATTTGGCGATTCGTTTCCTAATATCCATCATCCACGAAATTCTGTCAACTTTAGCGTGTGGATTCGGCTACTGCTTCAGGATTTTTGTCTTCCCTATTAGTGCCGCTGATTACTGGTCGAGTCGATTCTCCCTGGTGTCGTTGAATAGCCATGCTACAGCGTTCCCAAATGGACTGAAATAAATAAGCTATTCCCAGAAAAATCTGGTGCCAATTTCCCTACTAAGTAGGGATGAGAGATTTAGCAACTCCGGGGCGGGGTCGGATCAAAAAAATGCTCGTGGTGAACGGCATTATGGCCAGTGTGCTATCCATTATTAATTTTATCATTTAATCCTATAATTTTTGTAATAATTTTCATATCACTCTCTTACCATTTTTATTTCTCCGCTTTATTCTTTTTTAGACGAATGCTTTTTGCCATCACTGAGCGTCGGTTTCATTTCTCCCGCAGTACGGACACTGACCGAGGGTCAGGCGGCTGTACTGTTGTGCGGTTCGCACAATGTTACCATTACCTGTAGAAGAGGAGTCATCGCACCCACACCAAGTTGTATTGGAAACGGTACGTTAGTTGTAGAGGAACCTGACTCATCCATAGATATATCGGATATATCTTTGTCTTAGAAAATAAGTTCTTTCTTCTCAGTTAGTTAGTTAGCAGCGTTTTTATTCAACCCTACAAACCACAGAACACTATGGGTGCCACCAAAGCCCTAATAGAAAGTATAACAATCAACTGCAACTGTTTCTCTAATTAGATTCATTCACTAGCGAACATAACCACATTTCGAAAGCTCTATTTTCTCTTCTTACGAGCGGAAATTGTTTCTTCATTCCCTGTCTTTTTTTGTGCTGTTATTAATACGTACGCTATTTATGTAATATCAATAAAGAATTGTTTTGTATATTTGGAACCAGTTTCTAGAGTCTATCGTAGTTCTCAACGATAATATTCTTGCTAAGGTTATCATTAGTTTTTTTTGCCTTGTCATTTGTGTCAGATATTTGTGGAAAACTGAATTTTGTAACTAAAAACAACTTTTTCTAGAAACCACATTTTGCGTCGCTCCAAGAGACACAACATCGGCGCTTATCTACAGTGTCGTAAATGGTCAACGTATTGAGCTTGACCGTTACCAGTCGGCCTACCCGAATGGGACATTCTTCCAATACAAGGTTTCGGGATTTCTGAAAAGTTTTAGATGACGTGTTCGCTCGTATATTTACATACATGGTATATTAGCATTTAAAACATAGCACTATATTACTCTTTTTAGCGAAAAGTTCTCTTCTAGAGAAACTTTTTTTTATTCATGTTTAACGGATTCGTAAGCTATATTCTTCTATTGTATCATTATATTATGGGCGTTTGTAGCGCAGTGGGCAGAGGCGCCATGCGATATCACGGGATCATTTCTCGCGCCTCAGGCCCAACAAGCTCCCTCCATCCCTTCGGGGTCGGCAAATTGATACCAAGCTTGTCTGGGAGGATAGCAGCACCGGCTCGATACATCAGTAGTCCACCGCGAGTCATTGAGCAGGACAAATATGTATTCAATCACCTTCAACGATGCCTGATGAAGTCGAATGCATGGTACATCCCTCAGGGATTGACTAACGCTGAGAGCTTTATCCTTTATCCTTTTACCACTATATTTGTTCAAGCACGTAGTTAGGTTAGCATTACCGCGAGTTTCTTGTCCTTCGGTGTTGGGAAGAAGTTTTATGTGTTGATAGGATTTCTTTCAAGGCGGCATCAATTATTTGCATACATTTACTATTGGCTTTGATATACCATGCTGGATAATAGCATCGAAGTAATGCATTTTGGGAAAACTAATGTTTGAAGCAATTCCACAGTAAACGAGCTTCAAGTTGTAGTGTGTCGATTACGTTGAAGAGGCCAGCGGCATTGAGTGCGTGAATGGTGAATGGATCAGTAATCTTTTGCCTTGTGGTAAGCACAATTTTTTTTGTTTCCAGAGGAACAAAAAAGTTTCTTACAACTTTTCTGGGTTTTTGTTAGTGTCACAGTACGACATTTTTGTTGGATCTAAATTTTTGAATCTGTCTGAATAATACCTCAGTGTATTCTGTCTAGGGTATAGTTCACAATAGATCTGCAACTAGGAATTGTAAACGAATATAACGTCAAAATTGATTTTTCTATTCTTTTTTTTTCAAACAAGTAGCAATGAAAAGGCGGATAGGGTGGCGGTAGTGATCTCGTTCATTACGAGGATTGTCCATTCTGCCTACGCCATGCTTCGTCTCTACACCGAATATACGAAGTCTCTCATCTCTTCGCGATCTTAAAATTCCTACCAAACTTGTTTGAGACAGCTCATTCCCTCCAGTCCACATGTGATCGCCCTAGCACGGCGATCTCAAATTTCGGGGAGGACCGACACGACAATCATTCAACGTTGTTCGTGACGAAGATGAAAAAATGGTCAAACAGTGGTCGAAGTAGAAAGAAAAAATGTACGAAGACAAGTTAGATGCGCGGAAACGAATCGATTGCGGAAAGTCCTGTAATCCGCACAGTGAGATACATGTCATGTCCAATCATGTAATAAATTAAGTAAATAATAATGGATGGTTTTTACTGATGCGAATGTCAGCATTTTTCACCCACGATCTCTCTAAGTCATTGAATTTCATCTACACTGAAGCTTGTCGTTGATCGAGATGATTCTGCTATTTAATTCCAGCTTTCTATAATGGATTAAATAGACATTTGAAAAGCTCTATTCGGCTAATGTTTCGGCGCCTTCGCCTTTTCCGTAACGAGTTTGATCCAAGTGGATTGTCAACAGTTGTTTCTTCTTCCGAAGCGGAGATAATTGACTCTAATCAATCCTGTTCTGAAGAGGAAGAAGGTGCCGAAACATTAGTAAAATATAGTTTTTTTTTATCAGCCTGTTAGGTTATCAATGAAGGAATTCATGTTGATCAATCAAGTCGAGGTTAAAGGAAAGTCGATTTTTAAAAGTAATGAACGAGGTGGTTTGAGTAAAACACCGTATTCGTGCCTGCTTTAATCGCCCTTCTTTGCTCTTCCTTACACGACCCCTCCTATCAGTTCTCTTTTTTTCAATAATAAAAAAATCAAAAGTGGAAAAACCTCCCAACGGTTTATCGCCTCATCGTTGCTAGAGGTGTTCCTGGCTGTTAGGTTGTAATGTACAGAAGAGGGATTCATCTTTCCAGGCAAGGTCTCCTAAGCTGAGAAGGAGTTCGTCGTTTCCATCAGGAAGCCCAGTTAAGAGTAAACCAGTACCACAATCCACCACCGTCCTGGTGTCAGGCTAGTCGGATAATGGTAAACCTCCCTCCCACTGATCCGCAAAGGCGGAACTGCCTTTGGTGGAGACGGCATGGGGCAGATTTTGGCCAGGTTGACTTCGGGATTCCAGGAAACCACAATGGCTTAACCAGCAATTCTCCGAAAAATGGATATTAGGCTGGAGCCCGCATAACCAGTGAAAACGGGCCGTCCGAATATCGAAGCAATGTTGAGAAGAGCGTGATTATGAGAGCGGTGAAATATAGTCCTAAAATTTGTCAACGTTATCCAAAAATACAACCACAGCGATGCTGAGAAATCCGCAAAACTTGTAACCCGGGCCAGATGGAACCACTATTACCCTTTCCGGTCGCTCGCGTATTACACACTGCACCACGGTGGCCCTTGCTTTGCATCTCTCTCACCTAGCTTCCTACTTATCGCTGCGGCAATCACCCGTAGGCCGGATTGATCTGGTGAAAACAAATCGGCATTGAGTTCTGTTAAGCTGATGCTGCAGTCGAAAACTGTAATTTTGTAATGAAAGGTTAACATTGTGGTTTCGGCTACAGCCTCAGCTTAACTGGGCTCAATGCCGATTTGTGCTCACCAGAACAATCTGGCGGGTGATTGCTAATGGCAGCGATAGGTAGAAAACTAGCTGAGAGACACGCAAGGCAAGGGCCTCCGTGGTGCAGTGTGTAATACAAGAACTCTTAGGAAGTGTAATCGTGATTCGATCTGGCACGGGATCTACGTTTTACGGAAATTTCAACATCGTTATCCAAAGAGTTTCAAATGCGATTATTCACACATCCTGGATAAAAGACTCAATCACACCGAGATTGAAGAATTAGTATCTCATATACATTTCTGATTCTCATTTAAAGTGGATAAAACATTTAACATTTCATTGCTGGGTTTAACAAGTACGTGAAAATTTCAGGGCTTTCACTATTGGATTAGGAATGCGGTGGCGTATCTCGATTAGATTTGAAAGCACGTTGACTTTTACTCTTTCGATAATCACAGATAGTATATGAAATTGTTCATTCCTGCGTAGTTAATTTATTTTCTACAATTTCCGTAGTACTAACTAAGCTTAATTCATAGTGTCGAATAACGTCACAGTATCGACTTGGAGGTATTCTTTTGACGAAGATATGTGCCGATTGCCATCACTGGAGAAGACGATGAGAATCATTAACATCGACAACTACATGCCGCAGAATCATCACAGATTCGCTCACGGCACCGTATTGATGGTAAATCTATTTTACTTTTCTCGTGCCTTTAAATTCGTAATCCCAATAGAATCACATCTCTTCTATCGTCATTCATTTTTGCATCACGATTTTTTATTTTGTAAATCCCGGTAGGTAGCTTTTTTTATGTTTTTGGTCTTGCAGTTATAGTACAAAGGGCATACAACCAGGTGGGATGCGTGGTCGGCGGTCGTGTCGACGAGCATATGGAGTTGAAGTGCCGAAGAGGAAAATGGGGGAGAAGAAATCGAATCAACTGTGACATTCGTAAGATTTTCCCTTTCATGGCATTTCTTGATTTTCCTGTTTCATTAAGATACTGAAGGCCTGACTTTGCTTGGATATTGCGTAGTTCGAAATTGCACCTAATTTCTTCGCTATTTTCTATGTTTCTTGCTCGTAGTAGGTCTTGGTGGAAAAAAAGCAACACAAAACTACAAATCACAATGTCGTCACTTTTTATTTACTGCCTATTCTTTTCTAATGGCACGGTAGTATGTAAAATATAACCACAATGGTGTTGATATATAACTTCAATGATGCTGAGATATTTGCAGAATTCCGGACCGCAGGTGTCTACGGCGAGGAACGAACGCGCTATTGTCCTTTCCGGAGAGTAACGCGTTCACCACCACACCATGCGGGTCTTCCGTTTCGCCTGTCTCTACCATGGTGTGATGGTGAACGCGTTACTCCTCGGAAAGGACAATAGCGCGCTCGTTCCCCACCGTAAACACCTGCGGTCCGGAGTTCTGCAAATACCTCAGCATCACTGAAGCTATATTTCGCAATATACCCTGCCATTAAAAGATTCGGCAGTAAATAAAACGGTTAGGATGTTGAGATATTTGCAAAACTGCCAACCGCAGGTGTCTGCGGTGGGGATCGAATACGTTAAAATAAGGATAAAGCACTCGGTGTTCAGCAATCCCTGAGGGATGCGCCATGTATTCGACTTCATAAAGCGTCGTTTGGAGGTGATTGAATGCATATCTGGCTTTTAGAATGACACGTGGTGGCCTACCGATGTATCGAGCCAGTGCTGCTATCCTGCCAGACAAGTTTAACACCAATTTGTTGACCTCGGAAAGATGGAAGGCTTGGTGGGCCAAAGGTGCGGGGATCGATCCCATGTGTGTGTTGCGGAGCGCCTCCGACCACTGCTTCACATGCGCCCCATCCGAAGAGATTATTACCCTTTAATAGGGTAAGTTGATAGCGTATTCGGTCTCCATCGTAGATACCAGGCGTTCGGCGTTTCGCAAATATCTCAGCACCGTTATGATTATATTTCGCAAAACTATAGTTCTTTTTCTGGTTCCTCCACCTAAACGCTGTTATTATGAGTGCAACTGAAAGGTAATCAAACGAATTGAGCACTGACACGCATAATATTCGGCTATTACTTTTTATAGATGGGCGACCTTGCGAATTTAAGGTGCAGTTGAATTCGCGCACTCTCGTTTATCACGTTGAGAAGAAAGCAGTTGTGTTGTTCAACCAACTTTTCGAAGGTATGATGCTGTTCGTGAGACCAATGCTCTTAGAAAACTTACTGTTTAAGAAAAGTCAACAATACCTTTTTTCTTGGTTGTTTGTGTCCATAGCAGTTTGTTTTCCCGAATATGACCAATATGGGGATATTAGGTCCTTATAACTTCGTCTAATGCTCGATTTTTCTCCAATTTTATGCTTCTTCTGAATGAAGTATAACAAGGCAAAAAATCGACTGTCACGTGTTTTTTTGCTTATCTAGTTATTACTGTAACCCTGAGAAGGTCGCTAATTTGCAGAGTTTTCTTCTTAAAATGATTATTTTAGAAGGATCACATTTAAAAGTTCGTTGTGTGAATGTGGGCACTGATCGGCTGAAAGGGACTTCAGAATTAGTTTGTCGTGATGGAGCGTGGTCACACCCGACCCCGTACTGTGTTCCACTCGATCCTCTTAGCCGAAGTAGTACGGAACATTTTTTTCAATCAACTCAGTAGTTGTTTATTTTACATGTGAAATTTTAAAGACATTTTTATAGATGATTCACCACCACCAATAATAATTGACGTCACTAACGGGGCCCACGCGTATTCGCCGACTGGTGAACTAATAGTGGCTCGAAGTACCACAGTCACCCTATCGTGTGTCACACCAAGAAAGAATGGACAAACAAGATGGGTGAGAGGTCCTTCACTTCACGGTAGTTTGAAACAAAGCGATAAAGTATTATTATCTTCTTATACTTCTGAAGGCACCCTTCAGTACATGTGGCATCGATCACCGCGCCTCAGGCTCGCCAAGCCCTCGACCCTTCCGGGTTCCGCAATTTGATGCTAGAGTTGCCTGAGAGGATAGCAGCACTGCCTCGATACATCGGTAAACCACCGGGAGTCATTGTAAGGGCCAGATGTGCATTCAATCACCTCCAGCGGTGCTTAATGTGGTCGAATGCACTGCGCATCTTTCAGAAATTGATCAACGCCGAGAACTTCATCCTTTAACGTTATCCCCTGGAATCCAATCAGATGATGATCACGGCCTGTAATGGTATTACGACCAAATCCTATCCTCTATCCAGCCCATTAGGAGACAACAGGCAAATAAAGTTCACTGCTTTAATTGAAAATATTTGCATAATTCCGCCCACTTGCACGAGTCGATCAATCCCTACATTTTCAATATCTTTTCAATTAAGTGTTTAACAACGATGATAGTGTTTTCATCATAACTATAGATTTTGTTCTCCTCATGACTATTTTATTGGCATAGGTAGAGACCTCTCGTGCAGCTCAATATCTCTTACGTTTATTAGTCGTTCTTGTTTGTTGACCACGTTGGTTTATTGCCTCCTATTTATCGAACTTACTCACTCCATTTGACTGATGTCCTTATTTCATTCCAGTTTTCATCTATAATCAATACTATTTTCCAATATGTAACTGAAAGGTGAGAGGCTATCGTCACTGGGGTGGTAATACTCTTTCATCATAACCACAATGCTGGTGGATCGAGCACTGGACTCAGCAACTTCCCTCCGAGGTTGGGAAATTAGTACCAGAGTTATATGGGAAATGTTCACTCCCTGCAGTCAAAATGTAGACGCTCCAGCACAACTATCTTAGAAGTGCAGGGAGAATTGATCTAACCAGAATTCAACGACAATCATGAAAAAGAGGACAGTACTCAAGCAGTAGCCAAACCAACACACGAAATGTTCGAAGACCCTCATGCATAGTGATTGCACAAGAACCACTCGAATGAAAAAAGTGCTAGCATCCGCACAGTAGTTTTGAGGAAAAGTCATGCAGAAGAAAAAAATTGAAAGACAATAGGTAGGTGGCGTTTCATTGAAGAGACAGTTTTCATATTGATTTTTTGTAAAGTGCATCATCCACTATGTTATTGAAATCGTACGGCAAACGATTGGTCCAAGACGTTGATAGCCAGTTTTGTATTTCACGAGTGAAACATTTTCGTCTCAATAAGTGGGAGATTGAGAGAGGTCTAAATACTTTTGTGGTTCTTCAGGGATCTTCTTGGTCACTTGCGTATATTTATGGTGACTTCAATATTTATATGAGTTTTGTGTTAATGTTGTTAATATCATTAGCGTAAGACATATTATTGACATGATTCATTTTAGGAGTATTCTTCGACGTATCGAACTTATCCACAACTGTGGACAAAAGTACGAGCCTTGGGCATTGAAAAGGCTGACGCAAATCAGGTGATGATTCTTTTAGGCCTAAGGTTTAGGAATTTGATGCTGTTTTGCCATCTAACTTTAATATGACGGAAATCGTTATATAAGCTCGTCATCGATGAGCACGGTGATCACAGCTCAAATTTCCCACTTTTTATTTCGCTTTGATTACAAGCCTTATTTTTAAAATACTAGCTGAAATTTTCGCAAGCATGTGCAATATTGTTGTAAGGTTTTTTTAGTGAATGAGAAACGAAACTGTGCCGTATTTGATGCACATCGGCTAATATTGCCACACCTGTGCAATCAATGGTTATCGATTGGACATATTTAGTCGAAATTTGTTTGCAAAAAATATTAAGTTCTTCCAGCTCACTGTGACAATCGCTCAACCGGAAGATAATGGTCTGTTGCATTGCATTCTACCAAACGGTGAAAGAAATACGATACGCATTCGGGTAGAAGGTTCTTTAGTTCATTTGATCATGTTTCTGCTCTAACATCGCTACTTCTCGTCCTTTGATGATTACTGCAATGGGGTTTTTGGTGAAACTTGCCCAGAAAATCTTTTTTCTTTCGTTATTGGCTCAATCTACAACCTTTAGATCGATTTTGTCCCCCACAACGAAACTCTTCACATTTGTCTGTATTTCTGACAAGAAGGAATCTTTTCATCGGGACTGTAGCGCAGTACTCCTGTCCAGTTGGCTACAAGGCGCAGGGGATCACAACCACTGTTTGTGAGGACGACGGTACTTGGAGTCACTCACCACCCACATGTCATGGTGAGCTTCATGGTCTCTTAATTTCGATACCATATCTTGTACAGACCATTATTTTTGCTATACTTGACCTACGTGTGGGTGAATTTTTTATGCAAACACAGGATGCTCTTCCAGTTTGCCATTTTATTAACTTGAGTGAAAATAATGCCTGATTATGATTATGCCATCGTAGATTTTGTAAATGTAATGTTAATTTTTTTGCTTACTACCTGTCGTTTTTCTACAGCAGGATATGATTTGAAATACAACCATTATGATGCTGATGTATTTGCAAAACCCAGCACCCACGCTGTACTTCAATCCGTGATTACATTTTCTAGAGGGTCAAGTGTTACCCATTGCACCATTGAGGCGATTGTATTACCTTTCTTTCAGGAACAACGGTGTCTACCAAAGGGTAACTCTTTCTCAGTTGGTATCACTCGTGTGCTCGGAAAGGGTAATCACGGCTTTGAATCAGGCCTGGGAAGTTTTGCAAATATGTCAGCAATGTGGTTTTAGAAACATAGTTCTTGTTACATTTTCGCCACTTATTTCGTTGATGTTTTTAGGCTTGTTTGAAGACTGTTTGAAGACTGCTTCTTGTCCAGCCATTAGCTTTGGAATATTGAAATGCCTCTTCCAGAACTTAATTTACGGCAATTTTTTGCTCGTTGGAATGATGCTAAGGGAAAGAATTGTATCATTTTCCTCCGTAAATTCTGAACCAAGCAAGCAGCCGTGGAAATAGCGATAAATGTCGTCAAAGCATGGGTCATGAAAGCTTTTCTTAGAAATCATTGTGAATTTGATTCAAAATCTTTTACCAGAGAGAGATGATGATGAAAAACTTCATGGGGTTTTTCGGAAATGGCGACGACTACCTGAAAGTAGCAACTGAAATTGATCCTCTATTAGAATGGTTTGCAGAACTCATCGTTTATCATTCAATAATCATTCGTAGTGTTGGAAGACAAGAGCAAGTGAAAATGTTTGAGGGATAGGTGCCAGAATGAGAAGTAAGCAGGACATCCTTGAGAAATCCGGGCTGCACATTTTTACCCAAGAAAAACGGCATTTCTCGATCGCATTTTGATCTGCGATAAAGTTGTATCCTGCGTGACAATTTATTGGACTGGGATTAGTCTTCAAAACAGATAAGAGCCGAATTCGCACCAAATGAATATCATGGTGGTATTTTTGTGGTCGACAGCTTTATTGATCCACCACAGTTTTCCACATGTTAGATCTTACTGGTAAAGCTATCTAAATCTTAGTGGCTGTCACTTTTGCCGAAAAAGTTGTGCTTAAGTCGACCCAAACACTTTCTCAAAGTGGTACTTGTTACACCATTCCGTAGAAAAATAAGAAATGCACATTTAATGCAAAATGCATTTCGACTTTTAAATGGGGAAATAAGTAATGCTGCCTTTCAAATTCTTCATACTGGGGTGTTTTAGGTCATAAATTATTTTAAAAAGGGACTAAATAATCCGAGTCTTGAAGTCATTTGAAGTCTTTTCATATCCATTGAGATTTCTTGGCTTCAGCAATTCAATGCCCTCCACTGCCCGTAGACGGTCGGACGATGTCAGTTATCGTGTCTTCTTACAAATTCGGTGGAATTGCACAGTTCCAATGTGCCAAAGGGTAAGTTGTATAAAGTTCTCACCTGTTTTCATTCAGCGTGGTGTTGAGCTTTGATATTTCGGAACTCATAGAAAATCAAAGCGAATTTTTGTTTCCACTTCTCGCTAATGTTCTTCTTTTGATAATTTCTCCAAGTTTAGCTTTACGCTCGTTGGCTCTGAGCATGTCCACTGCCAAAGTGACAGCACATGGAGCGATAAAGTACCGGTTTGCACTGGTAAGCAAATATGACTTTGTTCACAGAGCTCTTCATTGAAAATGCCGTGCAGTGCTTGGTGCTGCTTTGTTCTTCGATGATTGTTTATAATAAATCGCTCTAAAGGTTGCGGTGTAACCGATGTTATTTTGCCGCCAAAATCATTGTGCTGTTAAGCACAAATTTCGCGCTTTATTTTTCCTGTCTATCTGTCTAGAACTTAAAAGGAGCGTTCTCCCATGAAAATTACACTAAAGCAATTAAAAAGCTGTACAGGAGGAAATCGAGTAACCTAAATGTAAAGGGAGTTACCAAGTGATTTGCTGGTGAAGGCATCCAGACAGCTCTGTAATGTGCGGGAACAATGCTCCTCATCAATGTTTCACCGTAGAAGAGCAATTATTATAGCTGTTCATAAATGTATTGTGTTCTAGTTGTGATGTGCAGTCACTTGGAACCGCCTCCGAATGCTGTGCTCTTGACACCAATACGTACTCATTATCATCGAGGTGATGTAGTATTGCTTGGATGCCTTCCAAATCATATTCTGACTGGTGGTGACTTCGTTTTGTGTCAGGAAAATGGAGAATGGACTAATTTCATCACAAAATGTAAGTGAAACAGCACTTTGTTCTCCATGGGTCGGGTTTCTTTTAACCCCGGCGTTGATCAATAAGTTAGGGTTTCGTGTTAAGCAGACACAGCATCGTTGACAACATATTTACCTGACAAAACTACTTTTCAAAGCATTACGTATAGCTTTATATCACAATGGGTTCTTTCGCCTTCACCAGAATATTTATGTTGGAACCAAGCTTAATGGCGGGAACAATGGCGAAGAAAACAAGGAGTGAGCAGTCCCAATTACCTCATTCTATATTCATGTGATTAAAACGATCAAATTAAGCGGCATATTGAACTCCCGTAATCGGCAACCTTATTTATTTGCTAGTTAGCTTTTTCCTTTGAAGTGACCTCACCCACGGCCCTTGTCATGTTATAGTAACAAATCTAGTTACAAAGATGCTGAAATGCAACCACAACGATGCTGAGATAATCGCAAAACTTCGACCCAGGACCACAACAAACCACCATTACACTTTCTGGTGGCTTATTACACGTTTTACACGTACTAAACTTTGGAATGTCTCAGAATCGTTGTGATTGTATTTCACATCAAACTCCGCTGTGAAAAACTATATAGGCAGAAAATAAAAGGTAAACACGATGCTGACATATTTGCAAAACGCGGAAGCGTAGATGTCTGCACTGGGGATCGAACTCGCTGTTACCCACTCCGGGGACTAATGTACTCACCACCACTCCATGCAGGCCTTCCGTTTCGCCTTTCTCTCGGCCGTCCAGTTATGGTTTACTGTATTCTTATTAAACTATTCTTGTTTCTTTCCAAAGGAACTCAAGCACGCCGTTTTGAATTCGTTCAGGCGATCCTTTCTGTCGTCATCCTGGTGTGCCATTACATGGCGCTGCCACGTCACCACCGAAAGACTACTATTTAGTTGGTGAGAAAATTGTCTATTATTGTCCTCAACAGGAATACAAACTGAGCTCTGAGAATGTGCTCACATGCATCAGTGCTGGAAGATGGTCCTCAAAACTACCTCTCTGTCTTCTTGATAATTGAAGCTCTAGAAATGAGACCATTCAGTAGTATATCACTTCTCCATAGGGACCGTGTTGTTACGTTGTATTCTATGTTCGGTCTTTTTGTATAGAAATGTGTAACACTTTCTAACTCTCATCTTTGAGCTTGTTAAGGTGAAATAAGTAATAACAACGAATATTTATTGATTTTCCTCCTGTGCAAATACACTTGTGTCACTTCCTCATGCTGAGATTTCTGTTTCGTTACTTCGATTGTTTGTTTGGCAAATCCTGGAATAAAGACTTCACTGTTTTCATGCGTTAGACGTCATTTAAAAAAAAGCTTATACAGTTGGGTGAACTTCCGTGAAGGGAGTTTGCCCTAATATTTATGCATTATCTTAAATTGAACATGACCACAATGAGTTAATCAAACGGAGTAAACAGAACATAATATCTCTACAAAGTGTAAAGTTAACAGCGAACTTTTTGAGTAATGTATAAAAGGAGAGTTTTACGGTCCACACAACATTCTGCTTTTGTGAAGTAAATTGAGTGCGTCATTTGTGGACCTATTTGAATTTACGGTACCATTACACAATCTTATTTTCACGCGATTGAATCGGAAACAACGCAGCGAGCTGGAATGTGCGCATGAAGCTTATCACGTAGTTTCTAGGTGGTAGAAAGTCTCTATGACTGCGTTAACTCCAGTTACTGCTAATGTGGTGTATATGGTGCGTCATTACAACATTGTGTGTTAACCTACTGATCAGTAGGGTTAATCGACGAATTCGATTATTCTCAATATATAAAACGATTGCGAAAGAGGAATTGCACAGAGCAGTTAGCACTGTCCGCTCACTTGCAATACCTTAACTAGGTTAATATATTTTTGTTGATTGAATGCTCCTATAGCTCCGCATGAAGTGACATATGCAAACCTGAGCAATTTCGTTAAGCAACAAGTATTAAACGTTTACCTGGACCTTGAAACTGTTCCCTTTGCATAGAGCAAGCAAATCATAGATGAGAGAATGCTTGGAAGCGGTTGGACCGAACTCAGAACCGGCGGTTGAACCACACCTGGTTCTTTCGTCACTATCTTGAGCCTCAACTAACTCTGCAGCATCTGAAGTGGAAGAGTTTCGGAAAGAAATCACGAATAAGTCACGTATAACTCACCTTTTAAAGATTTGAAAGCGTACAAACGTGGCGTAGAATCATTCTTTCGAATATAATATTGCAACGAAGACCACTAATCGATAGCTATGGACACGGCAGAATTATATAACTAAGAGCACAAGGAGGTCCACAGACACTCCAATTTGCTTGAGACAGAAATACTAGATGACTCAAAACACAAGAAGGTAGACCGCTGTTGTAAGTTCTCTTCGAAACCTTTCAGCAAAATAGGAGAAACTACGAAGAGCTTCCTTGATGTCGTTATGATATTAGCTATTTAAACTCAAAGGTATAAGCCATTCTGGCAGCATAAAATTATGAATTACTGGCGATGTGCACTTGTAAAAACGGCCTCTGCGAACTTCTGACACAGGATTTGATCTGTTGCATCGTCATCGTATTCTCAACAGGCTGCAGTGTTGGCGAACAAGAAATGGTGCCCAAGCATACCGAATAAGCGGAGAAAGTGAAAGCACTAAGCATAAATTCGAAGACAGCAGTTAGCTCATGAGAAACTAATGGTGTGATGCTAAACAATTAGAACAGAACAATTCTTTGACCATAGAAACGCCATCTTATATGCACTTAGGAATTTCGAACAATAAGAAAAAAAAAGCACTTTTCAAATCGACCGTCATTTAACCTCAGTAGCAATAATCAATACCTTCATGGATTGTTAAACTAACAAGAATTAAAGCTTAGCTATTAGCATAGTAATCCAAGAAGCTAATAAAAAAGACCTCAGCCATGAATTACGTAGGGCGGCAACACTGGGTGTAAATGATGGATCTCAGAGTCTCACAGAAGTCAAGGATCACGAATATCTTGCACGTACGCATAGTTCAATCTAAAGAAATTGCATTTCCGCACTGAGTCGAGAAACAGATGAGTTGGTCAAGTAATGAAAAAAGTCGACCGGTTATTTGTATGATCTTATAAATTGATCTTCCTAAGCTGATCCGAGGTTGGTATAGGTCTTCACTGTCGTTGTCGTTGTTCTTGTTGTTGCTGTTGGTGTTGTTCGTCGATGGCCGACGTTTCGGTCATTTAGCCGTCCTCAGAGCTGTGATGTCACGAGTGGAGCTCGACCGGTTGTGGTTAAGAAGAACAGTGCAGTTAACACAAAAGGATGTAAGCACATTCGCCTTCTATGACGACACACACCTACGGCAAATGTTTTGTACATCACGAACTGATATTGCAATGAATAGCAGGAGGAGAAATAGATCAGCACAATGAACGACGATCGTGATGGAAAGGATTGGGTAGAGAATGTGCAAGGAATCGCACCGCTCCTGACTGCCGGTCTTAGAACGAAAGAAGAGTTAGGTATCGAAGTCACAAACGCGTAAAAAAACATGACCACCTCCACTTTTGAATTCAAAAACCACTCGTTCGAAGGGTAAGAATGAAGTAGAGGAATTCTAGAAGATGCACTTCGCATGTGGTATCCTCTCCTAGAACTTCTTCGAGTTCTTCTCTACGCTTTCGTTTTCCAATGAAGAAAGTTTTTCAATGTAATGTACAACCATGTAGATAATGAAAATTCATTTCGAAGACAATTGCGAAAGTACCAATGTAAAATGCACCAGAGTAAAACATTATTAAAATAACATACAAAACACCGCAACGATAACCATTCGCCGTATTAGAATTCCACATGTTCCACCTAATGTTTTGGATTGTAAAAAAAAACAGGTAGATCAAATCGTAAGCTCTAAATAACATGCATTTCTGAGGCGGAGAAAGATAAAAAGAAAGGAAGAAAAAAAGAAAAAAGAAAGAAAGAAAAGAAAGAAAGCTACATTTTTAAAGAGTTTTCCAAATTTGAAACGGTGGCCATTATTCAGATATGATTATCTCAAACACATAAACACATGTACATTACATAAAATAAGGGACTCCCTCTATATACCATTCCACTACGTTTTCCCATGAAAAACGGTATGGCGAAAATTGTACAAGGCTGGGCCCCCTTCGCGAAAATACCCAATCCATTCGCAGCCAACGTTGTAAAAATGGTCGTCGTCAGCGCAACAGCGGAAAGAAAGTTAGGAACACCCAAAAGAACCTTAAGGAATTCATCTTCTAAATCATCCAGTTAAAAAGAATACCTGCCAACACATTATTGGGTGAACAATAAAGGAAAGTTCATGTGTAAACCCCTTGGTATTCCTGAACAATTAGAAAAATAGCTACTATTTCACTTGCCTCCTAAACTCCTTCAACACTTTGAGATACTAGCCTGCATTTTATAGTGACAAAACACTGCCGAATCCTTCTATGAAAAAATAGAAAATCTCCACACAGATGATTTTATCGGGCGATAAAAGAGTTTCAACTTCATTACATACCACCCACTCGGACAAATTATGGCGTTTTTGAGCAACCGATCATGAGTGTCCTCAACAAGGAAAACCTAGCTCATGCAATGTGCAAGTGCATTACTAACAGCAAGACATAAAGAACATCATATAGACAGCACAGGAATATATGGAATCTATGGAATCTGGAAAGCATTAAATCTGAAACCACGACAATACTCAGTAGTGGCTCTCTGAGTGAACAGCTGGGAAACAGGAACGGTCACTGAGCATATCCCCTAAGGTCTTTAAGGATTACTAACCAGGAACTTCGTGCACGTTTTAGACACTAAAACACACCTGAATGCGATTTCTATTCACATTCTAACTGGATTTAAATTATTAGGAAAACAAAAACACTTTTGTCTACATTTTTTGTTCACCACTCATACCTATTATAGACAGGGGCCGAAAAAACTGCTATCAAACACTTATGCAGTAAGAGGAGACTTAAGGAATATTTTAAGACCTAATTTTGGAAAGATAAATGAGTTTGATACTTCATTCGCTACCAAATACACTGATTTTTAATTGTGCTTGAACAACAGACCATGAAGGTTTTTATGGGGAATTCACGGGTCATCGAAAGTACAAGACCGTAAGTGAGAGCAACTTATTACGAAGATCTCACATGGAGTCTAAAAGTTTCTGAATTTTACAGATGGACATTTTTGAATTCACTTTAAAGTTTTGTCATCGCTCTTCCAGGAAGGCCGGGACAGAGCAGAGGAAAAGCAGCGCAGCCAAGGTGATTACTAACGAAACAATTTCCACCTAAGCGCTTACAAGTCTACTCTACGTCTAAATCCAATTCCTCTTTACATTCTCAGTGGTCTTAAAAGTTTAGTACTACCCAAAACATTTTCACCTATGATTTTAGCCATCGCTGACACATATTTAATTACGGGGCAAAAAAATTTCTGCTAAATTATCGTTGAGAGTGAGAGGAACTCATTAAGAATATCGCGCATGGAGTCTAGAAGTTTCTCAACTTTACAAATAGACATTTTTGAATTCACCTTAAAATTTTGCCATCGTTCTTGCAGAAAATGAAGGCCGGGACAGTGCAGAGGAAAAAGGAGCCTAGCTAAGGTCATTATTTACGAAAATATTTTCACCTAAGCGCTTTCAAGTCAACTCTACGTCTAAATCCAATTCCTCTTTACATTCTAAGTGGTCTTTGAAAGATTAGTACTACCCAA